TATACTGGAAGTACTTACATGGTCAGACAGAGGTAGTACTGAAGATTTTTTGACTACAGTTCACAGATGTTTGTTACCAGGCCAGGTTTCCATTGAGCGGTTTTTGTGTCAACCCTTTATCAACAGTTCTTCAGGATTTTCTCGTGTTTCTCCAGGCTTTGTGAATGAAAGCTGAAAGACGGAGTGCCCTGTTTCAAATCCACCTACTTCTGTTCACAAACTGCATCTTTTTTATAAGGAGGATGACACGAGTGGGAACCTCAATGACAGTGCATCCTCCAAGTTAAATGGAAATCAACAGTAATGACCCTCCAACAACACAGGGAGGAGGAAAACACAACATAACAAGCCACTGTCTTGAGTTTTCCACAGCAGCCGCGTGGAGTATGACATAAAAACAGTACTACATCAGGATGATGTCCATCATGAGGAGACCCTCATGAACAACGCGTTCATGAGGGTCTCCTCTCAGCAATCAGCGCACTATCCTTAAGGAGACCACTAATCATGTACACACACACACACACACACACACTCACACTGACTCACTGGATGCAAGGGTAACCCTGACACCATTTACATTCAAAACACCTTCTCAGCAACACTCTCTGGCACACTCTCACTTATCTCGTTACCCCCTCCCCGCCCTCCCTCCCTCCCTCACCCCATCTTTCCAAACACACACAAACAGATGCACACTCACCCCCTCCAGCGTTGCTGGTGACTGAGGAATTGCCACAGCCCATTTTGCATCAATGCAGCCGCTGTCCAAGCACAGGAGAGATGCTTAGCATGGAGAAGAAGAAGAAGAAGAAGAAGAAGAAAGAAGTGAAAGCGGGGGACAAGGTAAGAGATCCAAAACACATTGGGGGAGGCAGAAGAGAGGAGTGTGTGTGAAATAAGAACAGAAAAGAAGAAAAGGAAAGAAAGATGGAAAGAAAGAACCAAAGAAGAAAGAAAGACGGAAAGGTCACAGGAACGTCTCAGAGGAATCTCCCTCCGTTGTGTCCCCCTCTACAGTCTTGGGTCTTTCCTGTGTGCAGTTCAATAGAGAGAGTGAACTGAAAGCATGGGGAGAGGGATGTTTTATACACACACTGATAGAGGGAGAGTGAGGGAGAGAGAGAGATGCTATGTCCCCACATGATTTGCTCTCTACCTCCACCCCGACATGGTTACCCAGGAAACCAGAGGAAAAAAGGCGGGGAATGGAGGAAGACTTAGCCAATCGTGTGTTTTCGTTGCTTTTTTTACATGTGGGGGAAAAAACAAAATTTCGAGGCATCCGTGAATCAGGCTGTTAGATTCTTCAGCATTCTTCTTTTAATAAATCAAACAAACGATTATGTGTTAAGACTCCTCTAAGATTGTCCTGTCGAAAAATCAATGGAGTGAATCTAGAGCAAATCTTTTATAGATGGTAGTTTGTATTGTTTGCACTTCTTTAGGTGGTACATCTCTGTGGGCTAGGGTTGTGTAATGTATGGTGTGTGTGTGTGTGTGTTTGAGCTCAAGTCAAACCACAGTGTGGACACCAAGCAGGAAAATGTTTATAGACACCTGAAAGATACAATCATATAATCTTGGTTCAACAAGTCTTAAAAATAAAGAGACTTTTGGATTCTCTTCTGTATCGCTCAACCATGAAGAGACATTAGCGTAGTTAGTGCTACGGGGTGTCTTCAGGTGTGTTATTAAATTCCTTGTAACTGAACATTTCAAGTCTTGCTCCATTCCCGATGTTAAAATACCTCCAAACTACTCACCTAAATAAATTACCCATGAGGACAATGAGACTCTGAACTCCTTTAGGGAAACACACGACACTGGCTGACCAGTGGTTGTATTGAGAGTTAGAGAGTGTCAGGTCACTGGATCAGAACATGTTTTTAAGTACGCACATTTGAGTAAAGTATCGGGTGCAATACCCACACTGATGTCAGAAACTCTGCGTCCCTATTTGTAACCACAAACAAACTGCCGCATAGACTCATCTGACCTCACATCACATTTCCACCGTCCTTCAGTCTCACGTGAAATTTAATAGTGGGCAGACTGCATCACTCTACAGCTAATAAACAACCTCAAGGCTTATTATTCAACAAAATGACAAACCTTCTTGTAAACAAGCACTTATTGTCATTTGCCAATAGGGAGCCATGTGATAAGGTGACTTGTGCAAAGCACATTATCATCAAGTCATCAAGAGTGTTGCACCTTGTTCTAGGTCATTACTGTCGGAAAACCACTGATGGTTCATTAAGAAGGTTTCTGGTTTGAAAAGATTTAGTGGCAACTGGACTGCATTCACAGATTACTTAATGATATGAAGAGTGAAATTTGAAAAGCTGAGCTAAGTAGGAGTCATAATGTGCTAGTGTTGGGAACAATACCTTGACCTAGATCTACTTAGAAACACAGAAAAATTGTTCTGAAAAGGTTTTAAAGATGTCAGAAATCTGTCTTTTTGCATAAAAGATTAATCGACTTGCAAGGGTAAAAAGAAAAAGAAAAAAGAGACAATGAAACCAAATTATTTGTTTAAAAAATGTTCTCAATCAATAAAAATGATTAAACGAAGAATATAAGAATTTATATGAGTTTATGATCAACCCTACTTAGACACTAATACTTGAAACATTGGCTACTGTGTCCTGAAACATGTATTGAGTTGATATTTTCCCACATGCAGTGTTTTCCCGGCCCAATAATTGACTCCTTACTGTGTTGTCTCACTTACAAGTGAGTGCTGTCCACAAGACACAGCTCAATACTTCTCCTGAGTGTGTGTTTCCTTGGTCAGCTCAATCACTGCTTTGTTCAATCCAAGTTAGTTCCACTGACATGAGGCACTTTCTTTTTATAAGCCTGACTGAGCCATGCCAGCAAACACAATTAATTATCCAGCTCAGGACAGGAAAGCCCTGTCTGATTTACAGCAACAACTTAACCAATTAAAACTCAGAGTCCACCAGGGAGAAAAAAATGTTCTCTTGTCCGAGGTACCTGTCAGGACTTGCCTGCATCAGATGATACACAACAAGACATGACCGGGGTTAGACCTAAAAAGAAATCCAGTGTCATTTATTCAAGTTTGCATCCTTTTTTTAAACTCCAGTTCTTTTCCAACTTTTGTAAGGAATAAAAAATATTGTTTTAACACACGAGTTCTTGAATTTGACTTAAAAGTTGTGTCTAACAGGGGAATTTGGGCAGGATTATTACAGAAGGTCATAAGTTTGTATGCAACATTTGACATAAGCCAGGGGTGAATTTTCCTTAGGTCCTCCATTTCCTAACTCTAGGCCAAAGCCATATATACCAAATGTGATTTGGGATCATGGAGTGTCTAACTAGACCACAGGTGTGGATATTAGTAAGAATTAATTCTAGTCTCTGTGTGGAGCTGTGATGGCCTGGGTGTTTCCTTTCCCTTTTTCTTGCTCTGCACCATAAACACGATGTATTCTGGGGATGGATCACTGCTGAGCTCGACTCAGGTTGTGTCAGTCAGTGGAGAAATAAGACCTCCTTAATCCTACCAACACACCTTCTTGTGTCTGGGGCAGTGGTTCTTAACCTGGGTATGATCGAACCCCGATCATATGGCTATGCCTCACCATTAAGGTCTATCAAGGAGTCCTCAGAAGGAGGATCCATCTGTTTGTCAGGAGGAGCAGTGTAGCTGTAATTCCTGCCAAGGAACAGTGAACCAACTCTACACCCATGGCAGGATCCTTGGGGTTTCATGGGAGTTCACTCAAACAGTCTACATGTGCTTTGTGGATCACAGATTGTGGGTGCCCTGGAAGTATGGGGTATGGGTCCCTATAATTTGGGGAGTTCCCTCCCTGTATAACTGGTATCAGAGCACGGTTTGTATCACTAGTAGTAAGTCAGACCCATCCCCAGTGAGGGTTGGACTTGGAGGATGATCTGTATTGACAGAATTTCTAGACAAAAGCTGGATGTTGAGGGGATTCGTTTGACAGCCTCAGATTTGGGTCTCTGGCTTTTTGCAGATGATGTGGTTCTTTTCTTCTGCCCCAAGTGAAGGAGTTCAGGTAATTTGGATGTCTTGTTCACGACTGGGGGTGGGAGAGGTGGACAGGCAGATTGGTGTTGCATTGGCAGTTATGCAGACTCTCCAATGATCTGTTAAGGTGAAGAAGGAGCTGATTTGAAAGGTGAAGCTCTCTATTTTCTGGCTGATCTACATTCCTACTCTCAGCTATGGTCATGAGCTAGGTGTTGTGAAAAAAACAAGTTTCCTCTCAGCACACTTTTGGGCGGGTCTCAAAGAGATGCTACTCCTCTGCATGTAAAGAATGAGATGGTTCTGGCATCTATGGGCTCATCCTCCTGGGAGGATCCCTGACACACCGGAGGGCGATGAAACTCTGCTGGCCTGGAAACACCTTGGGTTTCCACTGAAAGAGCTGGACCAAGTGGCAAGGGAGTAGAAATTCTGGGCTTTTTTTTTTTTTAGAGATTTTGAGTAATATAAAACATGCACCTCTAATTTCTCGCTCAGCACACTTATGTTTTTAGATTTGAATACTTATGAAAGTGTTATTTAACTACATGCTTGAAATTAAAGTATTTACTGTACTTCCGTGTGTATTACTGGCACATTAATTTAAGAATTTCTTTAACATCGTGGACGGATAGAAAGAATAATCACATGACGGTGTTATCAGCCAGACATCTGGTGAACACAATAGCATGCTGCAAATACTCACTTCATCATCCAAGATATGATCAGTGACAGAAGGGATTTCTTTTTTTACTTTTGCTTGTGTGCAGCATGGGCAAGAACTAGACTGTAGCTATGACAGAGTTACAGTAACAGAACTATACATATCTTAGTACATTTTGTATTCTGCACCTTATTTATTAATTACAATTTACAAAAAAAGAAACTCAGTTGGAGTGATGCTCTTTAGGATTTTTTAAATAAATCCGCCTCCACCCAGGCAAGGCAACGACTAAATTTCCTGAGGAAGCTGAAAAACACTCACACAGTGTGGCTTTAATGACTGCACAGCATAGAGAGGAAGGTTCTGCAGTGGATGGTGAAGAGTGAAGAGTAATTGAGTCTGCACTGCCACTTCCAAGAGCAATATACACTCCCTTTGGATACTGCCCTTTAAGAACATCAGCCATTATCAACACAATATGCCTTAATAACAGGCTTATTTTAGATGACATTTTGAATTGAGAGACACATGTTTTCAATGATATTCTAAGACTCACTGCACAACTATTAATTACTTTAACTAGACATATAATGCTGTGATTAATGGGTAATGTATCTATGTGTGCAATTTCAGTTGTAGATCAGTATTCTAAATCCAAAGAAATGATTCCACACACACCTCTGCCTCTCAACCAAAATAATCACAGAAACAATTAACTACATTTTCAGTTGTTACACTGGTCAATATAAACATCAAGTCTTCCGTGGCCACAAGGTCATTGTCAACACTACCATGGCCTGAGGTGACCTACTCCCATGTTTTAATCGCAGTAAAAAATAAAGTATAAGAATTATCATTTCAAATCAGAGGGAACATTCGGAACAAAAGGGTGAAAAAAGGAACAAACAGAACCCAGCGACCAGGGCAGGACAGCAAACGGGCAGGATTGGCACAAGCGTCGGTCACATATGCTCAGTAAAACACCAAACGGCAATAAGTATCAACATCAAGCAAATGTCAAACAACATGAGTCAAACAACATCAGTCAGCAGCAATGAACAGAGCAGGGCATGGTGAAAGAGAGGGGCATTTATACCCAGGGCACCAGGTGAGACAAGTGAGACTAATTAGTGAAGCAGCGTTCAGGACACAGGTGAGTGTGATCATACCTAATCAAGGGGAGAGACAAAAGGGTGTGTACTTCTTGCACATATCTTTAAGATACCTTTTAAACGAAACATTTACAAAAACACTTTAATGCTAAAAAATAAATAAAATAAATCTGTGGTGCAAACTTGTTTGAGAATTCACAACCTTTTGTTTATAATTTTTTTTAACAGTTCTGTGAAAACAATAAGTATTCACAACCCCACCGTAGAAGAATTCTGTCAGCAATTTTAGATTACAGATCTACATCACACATATATGCGTGGCTATTGGTTTCATATTTATTTGCTCAAATTACATATAATGCACACAGAATAAACACAAAAGAGCTAGTAAACAAACACATGCAGAACTTTGAATTACATTCAGCTTTATCTGGATGGTAAAATAAATTAATCACAAAAGGGTAGATGCTTTTTTTAAATGGATCTACAAAAAATATATAAAAAAATTGATTTTCATAATGAAAGATAAGGAAATACGCTTGTTGTTATTCCGCCTAGGTTATGTCGTCACATCCGGTCCTTGCTCAAGCACTTCCGTGTTCCGGTCGTTCGCACGGGGACTTCTGGGAATTTGAGTCAATCGTGTTCTAAATAATTCAACCGCCCCAGTTCCACCTCTTCGCTTCTATTCTGTTTTTACATCGCTAACAAGATGCCGGCCGTGCACCACAAGCTGCTGCTGGAGGAAGCTCTGCAGGACAGTCCTCAGGTAGGTCTGCGGTGGTTGGTGTTGTTTACGGGGGCTGCAGCAGCAGCTGTGTGGCTTCAGGGAAGCTGAAGGCTGAAGCCCAACTATAGACCTAACCCAGCCTGTTTAGTGTGCTAGGCGTTTGCTGTTGCTGACAGATGTCGATGAACACATTGTCAGAAAGAATTCAATCATATTTTAGGACCGACTGCGCTCACCTGCTGATGGAAATACAGTCGTAATATGTGCATCACGGAACGTGTAAAAATGCGTACATATACTATATACTATGTATAGTATATACATAGGGGGCGCCTCCTGTCTCTTATCTCTCCCTGATGGACCACTTCTCTTAGGGCCCCGTTCATTGTCTGTCAGAAATAAATATTTATAAAAAAAATGTTATTACAACATATAACGCATAATCAACAACGTTTATAACCAGTCATCAAGTAAGGTTTGGATACAACTATTTTTGTCCTGGACAAGAGCCTTTTTCGTATTGACAACATAGAATGTATGATTCTCAAACTATGGTTTGCTGACCACTGGAGGTACACAGCTACTGATAGTAGTCTGCCAAGGAATCTGATCAATATCAGTCAGATGTTTTTAAAAATGACACTGCTCCTTTAGTTTACAAAAAGGTAAATCATTAGATTTAAAAAAAAAAATTCCTGTGCTTCGGTGGTGGTGTTGGTGTGTTCTTGCAGTACTTTACTGCTGCTGGAACTTTAATTTCCCAAAGGGATTCCGGGGGATTCATTAAATTCTAATTTAATTCAATCTAATTTAGCCTTATTTACAATGGCTGTTTTTATTTCTAAGCTAAGCTAAAATCCCTAAAACTCTACTGCCAACCAAATAAGACCACACATGTTTATTGTTATTAATTGATTTAACAAGATTAGTGATTGTTATAATACCAGTATTCATAGTAATAGAACAAGTACTGCCCAACTGCTTGTCCTTTGTCCCTTGATAAGACACTTTCACACCAACCCCCAGCCTCTACTTCATGGTTTAAATCCCATATAAATAAGGAATTTGCATAGAGGCGTCCAGCATCTAACTAAATCTAACCAGCAACTAAATGAACAGTCTCAACTCATTTCCATCTCATTACTTTGGGACCCTTTACTTTCTTGAATGAGAACTGAAATCAAATTTTTAGACCAGCTGTAACTGTCAACAACTGAAAAAAAATAATTTTTAGAAAATGTGGCGGCCTATCGTTTGATTCACCATTGATTTATAACAAAAGAATTGAATGAGGTCATTCTGAACCTGTTCCTTTGTTGTGGTCTTCTTTGACACACAAAATTAAGTTATTACGGCACTGCCTTAATATGATATGTCTTGGTGACCTGCCAAACTTAACTTGCTTCCAGTTCAACACCTCATACTGTAGTTGCACGAAGCCAAATACATTGATCTACCTATGCTTTGATATGAGCATTACTTTATCCTGAGGTACTGTACATCTGAAGATGATATTCAGTAGTAAAGCAAGCGATGCTTTATTTTCATATCTTCTGTCAATGGGGAATAAATAGACCTAATGTTTTGGGTTTTTGTAGATGGGTAGTAATAGACCGGACAGCCTTTGTTATGACACACATCTAATGTAGCATGTGTGCTGTGATGTCTGTTCCATCAGTCGTTCCTAAACACAGCTGACCTCTGACACTGCTCTGAAGTTAGAGGAAGTGGTGGCTGTGCTTGGAATAAAATGGAGAATATGAATACCAATAATGTTTTATTATGCTCTTAATTGTGACATTCAGTAATAAAGGACACCAAAATTAGATGTTAAGATGTAGATGCTCTTTTCCCCTTTGTGTGTCCTGCAGCTTTTCACATGTTCAGTACCAAAAAAATGTGTTTCCATACTTCATACTAGGTTTAAAAATTCTTATACATGCAGAAAAAAACTGGCAGGAGTAAAAGTCAACAGTGATTAAAAGGCAAACAGTGAATCTGTCCTTCCTCACTGTACCTGTTTACGCAACCAGACTCTTTGCATAGTCAACCTGCAGGGAAATTACCCTACGTGGAAAAACAACGCTGGATCTCAGACCTACTGTTTACCTTATTTTTCTCTACAGAAATCTCCAGTCTCTAGGAATGTCTCCTTATATATTATAGTCTGTTGAGGTAATGTTTAAACTAAAAAGCTTTTTAACTCCGACTACCTTAATCACTTGTAATTTTATTGCTGTGTAGATGACATTTTCATTTGAACTAACTGAAATAAAAAACAAAATAAACATTTTTTCCCCCAACGCCTGTTCTCGCAGACACGCTCCCTGCTCAGTGTGTTTGAGGAAGATGCTGGGATGCTCACAGACTACACCAACCAGCTGCTGCAGTCCATGCAGCGAGTCTTTGGAGCTCAGGTACAAATTAACACCACGTTCTTGAGGTGCAGTTGGTTAATACTGACATTTGGAATCACAGCATAGGATTCTTTTTTAGGGTTCACAAATATCAGCTGTGCGTTTGGACTAAGAGCAGTATTTCAGTGACTTATAAATTGATATTAAATGTATTTTGCATTTTTATTTCTGCCTGCTCTTTTGCACTTTTCCTTTATTTTTTTTCCTTCCTTACAGAGTGAGATGGGTTTGGCCACAGAGCAGCTGTCACAGCAACTTCTGGATTATGAAAAGAAAGTAAGTATTGATGAAAAAAAGGAAGTGTTTCTACGATGTTCTTCCTTTAAAGAGTCAGGTTAAACTTCCTGCACTGTACCTGCACTTTGCCCTCAGAGTCTTAAGCTGACGTTGCTCAGATAATGGACAGTACATGACAGATACTATAATTACCCCAGTCATGTTGCGTTACCACCACAATAGCAATGAGCAGATTCAGTGTTTTTTTTTTTTTGCTCTTTAAACATCCATTTATATATAAATGTCAAAAAAACACTTTCATATTTATGTTAGAAAACAAGAAGTGAGAACCTGGTGTTGAGCACAACAAGAACAGCTTGTGAAGACACACCTGTTTGTATTACCGTTCTTATCAGAACTGTTCTCCTAATGTAACCTCTGCAGACACACCTTGTCCGTGTATATTTAAAACAAATGTGGCCACAGCTGCTAATCTGTTTGCAAAAAGGTGACACCAAGGCTGACACTTTAGCATTTAGCTTGAGCTATGTTAGTGTAGTTAGCAACCTGGTTAGCCTTTTGTAAAGAATTATGTGGAAAAGCTGCTATTATGACCCATATTACAAGATAATTTGATTGTGATATGTAAAAAATTGGAATAGATATCACATTCTTCCTCTTCTGTGGAGTTGTATTATGCTACATTACACTATTTCAGTGTGAGAATATTTGACTTCTTTCTTCTGTCTAGAATTTTGCCCTTGGCAAAGGTGATGAAGAGGTCATCAACACGCTGCAGAGCTTTGCCAAAACCGTAGGGGAGGTGAGACCTTTTATTTGGGAATTCACGAAAAAACTGTTTCAGACAAGTTAATTTATTTGATACTTGCGTTACTGCCCCGTAATGAAAAATGATAAACATGCCTTTAATTTAAGTTACATACACGATAATAATCGCCACAGGCTATAGTTACTCAAAGCATGTTTTATTTATTTTGTCCCTGGTCTCCCTGTAGTGTGGAAACCTGTAAAATAATGTATTTATTCTATTAATAACTTTTGTAACTGAACCTTTAGAATCTCTAAATGTATACATTTTAATAATTTGACAGTTTTATCTACACTGTGACATGGAATTACTAAATATTATATTCATCAGTGTGTATCCTTGTCGTGCCCTTGATGTTTCTGTTTTGCCTGGTGAAGCTGAACTCCCTCCACTCTGAGCTCGCCAACCAGATGGCTGACAGCATGGTCTTCCCCCTGATCCAGTTCAGAGAGAAGGACCTCACAGGTAGACAGTTTTCCTACAGTACAATTCAATTGTATATGGCTGTGCTCTATGGTATTGCAGCACATCACAATATATCGTATCATTGCCCCTGTACAGTGATATGTATGATATCGCCATATTCTTGCCAATACACACCCATGGTCATTTGTCAGACTTGAATTAGTTTGGTCTGTATTTTTGCAGAGATTAGTACACTGAAGGAAATATTTGGCATTGCCACTGATGGTGAGTACAAACTATAAGCAGTTTTACAAAATTAAAGTCAAAGTCCCTAGCTGATGGTTTCATCTGCCTCCTTCTCCTTCAGAGCATGAAGCTGCGATGGTGAAGTACAGCCGACTGCCCAAGAAGAGAGAGAATGAGAAGGTGACTTTGACTCCCAGCTCCACTGATGAAGCCTTTTTCTTCCCCAGGAATCCCAGAGTCTTGAAAAACAGCGCCGCTCTACAATCTGAGAGACTTTTAATGATATGGAATCAAATATTGTTTCTCTGCCAGGACTCACTGTAGCAGAAAGGTTTTGAATCAAATGCTGCTTTAAAGATTATAATCACTCTGATTTCTGCTTATGTTCTATTGAAGTGATGTGACGATAATAATAATCACTCTGAGAAGTGACGTGACTCACTGGATGTTTTTCCCCTCTCCTGTGTGAACAGCTGAAGGCAGACTTGGTGAAGGAGGTGGCGTACACCAGGAGGAAGCAGCACCAGGCCTCACTGCAGTATTACTGTGCCCTCAACGCACTGCAGTATCGCAAGAGAGTAGCCATGCTGGAACCCATGTTAGGATACACACAAGCACAGGTTGGAGTTGTTATTTATGTTTTACAAATAGACTTTAATCACAAAAGCTTTCTTGCATGATTTTTTAAAATATCAAACATCAATATCAAATAGTTATCAATCAATTAAAATGTCATCACACAATTTGTCCAAAAATATTTGGTAATCTCTCGTCATGTAAAATCAAATGACCCTCAGTTTTCTGCTAACTCAGATCAGCTTCTTCAAGAAAGGCATCGAGCTGGTGTCAAAGAAGATGGACAACTTTCTCTCCTCCGTCTCCACAATGACACAGAGGTTAACGGCCGTCATTAACACCAATACCGACATTGACCAGAAGATGATCTCAAAACCATGTCTGAAATCCTCTACCTTCCTATAAGATCTGTTTTCTTTCTGTGCAGTATCCAGACCCAGCTGGACACTGAGGCCGAGGCCATGCGCATGTCCCAGAAGGAGCTTCTGTCTGTGGACGATTCCGTCTACATGCCAGATCAAGACACGGAGTCTGTCAATCGCACCCTCATCCAGAAGGCTGGCTACCTCAACATTAGGAAGTAAGAATGATCGGCTTCATCGCCTACAAACAAGACCAAGTCCGCAACATGATGTGATTCAAACTTGTCTTTAAATCAAGGAATATTTGTCTTTGAAACAAGTTTGGAAGCACTGGCGACACAACAGCAGCAGAAGATTTAAAAAAAAAAAACTGATTTGACAAAAATATTTTGTCAAGTCTGGCACAAAGGGTTTGAGCTTCATCATCTACTGCAGACTGAATAAATTATTAAGAAAACATCCATCCAAAGGACACAGACTGCAGCTGAGTCTTTGACGCAGTAAAATGCCAGCACAGTTGCACCGTCTGTGGCTCTAAAACGATAAAAGTCTTGGACAAATGTCTGCGACAACGAAGAAAAGGTGTGTTTAATGACACACATTACACAGTCAGACACGACAAAGTCCAGGATACAGTACAGCAGCTGTAGGGGAGTGTTTGCCAAGGCAAAGTACGGACTTGGGTGAGTCCGTACAGCATTAATATGACACTACATTCATTCATTTCACAATCAAAGCCATCAATGCAAAGACAACTGGGTAAAAAGACTGGGTAAAAATATATATATATTAAAATTTATATATTTTTTTATTATACAACCCTGTGTCCTGTTCCCATCTTACAAAATGTGACTTAAAAATGGAGCCCTTCTGACCTGCACTCGTCTCTGTCCTGCAGTAAAACAGGTTTGGTGACCACAGCCTGGGACAGACTCTTCTTCTTCACCCAGGGGGGGAACCTGATGTGTCAGCCACGAGGAGCAGTGGCAGGAGGGATGATCCTCGACCTGGACAACAGCTCCGTCATGGCCGTGGAGTGTGAGGACCGACGCTACTGCTTTCAGATCACATGCCCTTCAGGCAAAACGTATGTGTGAATGTCATCGTCTTATCTTCATGTTTCCTTAATGCAAACGTAGTTAATGATGTATATTCATTTATTCCTCCCTTTGCCTGAAGGTCACTGATTCTGCAAGCAGAGAGCAAAAAAGAATATGAAGAGGTAAGTGTTTGCCCTGCTGTGTTTTTGCCATCATCATTGACATACAGTATCTACAGATAAAAGAAACTCCGTCTGTTAATCAGCTGTTGTCATGACTAGAGACAGTCCTAATGTGGAATTCTTCTCTTTTGTTTTTCTAAGTGGATTTGTACAGTCAACAACATCTCCAGACAGATCTACCTGACTGACAATCCTGAGGTAAATGTCTCCACACGTGGAACAACAAGCTCTGCACGACATACACACATTATTGTTTACCACTGTAACAAATGACACATTATAGATTGTGGTACAGTGTTAACTAGTGACCCTAGTTTGTATTTGTGATTTTCTAGCATGCCACAGTCTAAAACCGTGCTTTTCGAGGTTAAAGACAAAAAAGTGTAACCAGGAAAATTCCATTTATTTTCAACCCCAAATCTAAAGAGTAAAATGTTGCAGTGACCCAGTGAGTTGCAGCTTTTGACTGTTTTATAACTTGCAAACTTGCCCGAGGTAAGGCTCCACAACAAACTTAATAATTTAGATTCTCCAAACAAACGGCAGCTGTAATCTGAGCCCCCCCCCCTTTTTATTCCCCACTGCAAAAAAGTCGTGGTAGTTGTTCATTGGACAGTAATCTTGGTGCGTTGCCTACTTCGACTCAGCTTCATTTGTATACAAACAAATGTCCAGGGATAATGTACGTGTCCTGTGTCCACTGCTCCGTCTCTGTTTTTCAGTTGTCCAAAAAGTACTGTCATGTGGTCTTTTTGAACCACATTAAGGCAATTAATGACGATGATATTTATGAGATCAGTCCTATTCCAGAGTCAAGAAAAAATAATGTATAATGATATTTATAGTATAAATAATATATACATATATTTTATTTATAATTATATTCATAAGATATATTATTTTATGATAATTATAAATAAGCATTGTTGAATAGATATATAGATATGTATATTTATAAACTGCCAAGGTGAGGTTTAAACATTAATCGTGGAAAACCTGAAACATTTACGACGACACACGACTCAAAATACAGCATCAACCACTGTTCACCGCGACTTTGTTATTTCCTGTGGTTTAAGGCTGTGGCCATTCGGATGAACCAGAGTGCCATCCAGGCTGTCACTCCCATCACCAGCTTTGAGAAGAGGCAGGAAGGCTCTCCTAACCCTGACAGGTTTGAAATGTACTGCTGTCGATAGACTCACTCTCACACAGTCAATACAGTTGTTTCATGGTGACATTGTTGGGTTTGGGTCAACCTACTTCCCTGCTTTTACAAGAAGCTTCAATGAGAAGTGAGAGGATATAAGGAAAATAAAATAACACCATGTGTACGTTCTAATGGCGTGGAGGACTCCTGAAGATTCCTGCCTGTCATGTACAGTAGAAGGTTCTGGGTTTGATTCCAAAATTCCTTAAATCCTTATAACAACTGCTGCTGTAGCTACAGTACAGCTGGGTTCATCCACTTGTAATGATTCATATTGTTTTTTTTTTTGCTTTAAAGACATTTGTTCACCATCAGTAAGGATCATTACAGATTCAATACAGTGAACCAGGTTGTAGTGACTCATCAGAACTAAATGAAACATTTCCCAGTTATCTATCCAGCCATGGAGCTGTGCCTCTTCCTGAATTGACTTGATTTTTAAAATTAAAATTTCTTGTCTGTCTTTTCCGGCAGAGCAAAGCCTGGAGGCGTTTATGACAGCAGTCGTGGCTCCCAGAAGACTGGAGCTGCTCCTGAACCAGAGGAGCTGATAGCTCCTGGTACACCCATTCAGTTTGACATCATGCTGCCAGCTTCTGAATTCCAGGACCAGAACAGAGGTGGAGGCAGGTAAAGGACAGAAAAGTGGGACAGAAACATAGTACTCATGAGTGTGCATGTGGACAAGTGGGACGGAAACCTTGTACTATTGAGTGATGATGTAATGTCAACATCCTTTGTTTTTCTCGGAAGCTGATTTTCTCTAATGACTAATGAATGGCGAGCTCTAATT